CGATTGTACTTGGTCATTTAGAGCGATTCGTACGTCCGATGTGCCTTGCACGGCGTCTGGAAACGAGCGCAACAGGTCCAGCACGACATGCACCTTGTCGCGCGCAACCGCGTCCACCAGTACCTTTTGGCACATCTACACAAGACAATATTGAACAACATTCAGTGATTTTGTATGCACGAACAACCTCGTGACGAAACATCGAGACTTGGAGCGCCGATCGCAGTAGGCTCACGTTGTCGTTCTCCACGGCCATCGACAGAAGAGCAAGCAGAAGCTCCTCGTTGTTTTTTCCAGTGACGGCGGCCACGATGGATTCCTATTGCGTGTACTTTAAGAGCGTGCTTGGTATATAGCTCTACGCACTTGGTCAAGTTCGGTCTGGATGGGAACGCCTTCGCGTAAAAGCTCAGTCGCGGTCGCCCAGTTATGCGCCGAGATGGCCGTCGACAGCGCGTCTTTCTACTCATTTCCTCATCAACCTTTGTCGCTTCCTGGCCATTGTCGTACCTTGCTTTGCATTGCATGTTCGAGGCGAGTGCGCTCGGTCTGGATGGCCTGTTTACCAGCCAACAACTGCTCGAGAACGTCGCCCGAGGCCAAGTCCAATGCTGTTTTGCGGTTCTAAAAGCAAAGTTGCGTCAATGCATCCAAGGACTGTCTCTGGTAGCATGGACAATATGGATGTACCGTATTGCGCAGGAGGAGATGGGTTTGCGCTGCCAGTAACTCTGTGCGAGCCGCCGTCAGAGCTTTGTACGACAAGTTGTTGTCGTCGGTTGCAGTCGACGCAGGTAGAAGTTTGGCGAGGAGTGTTGTGACGACGGCGGCGTGGCCGCTCGCCGCCGCCAATTGCAGCGCGGTCTCTCCCTTCTAAAGAGAGCAACTACGGTGATGCCATGAATGCTGAATGTGCCAACCTCGTTCGAAAGTGTTGGGTTGATGCCAAGCGACAAGAGACGATCCACGATGCTCGCGTCGTTGGCAGAGGTTGCTTGAAGAAAGAGGGTCTTGACCACGCAGGAGTTTTGAACAAGTGCCCGAGTCGTCTAAAACAAGTTGTTGGCTACTGAAGCACGATGCAAGCGTGTACCTCGTCGTTGATGTCGATCTGGAGGTTGGGCTTTTTCAAGAGCGTTTGGAGCAACGGTAGGTCTTGCGTCTCGAGAACGAGCAGCACCAAGGACGAGCCGTTCTAGCCATTGGTTTTGAGCCACTCAATAATCGAAGTAGAGATGCGTACGCGGTCGCTGAGGTTGGGATCCATGGTCTCTTGCGCAAGGATTCTCGCTGCATCGGCAAAGCGTTTCTCGTCGAGGGCTTTAAAGAGCTGCGCAGAGATGACGTTGCGTCATCACACGAATTGAAACACGCAACTATGTAGTACCATATTTCCTGGGTTGCGAAGAGAGTCTTGCAAAAGCGCGATGACGTTGTCATGACCTTCTCTTTCTGCGACCATGAGCGGCGTCTTGCCTTTCTACAAGAAAAAGAATAGTTTTTGAATATCTCTCGCAGCGCAATGTATGAAGAGAATATGAACGTACCTTGGTTTTGACGTCGATGGCCGCGCCTTTCTCAAGCAAAAGGCGGACGGTCTCCAATTCACCTTCCTCAGCAGCGTAGTGCAATGGTGTTTCACCATTCTACACCAATCGTCACATCGTGAATACACGTGAGAGTTTCCACACGCAAAACGTACCTTGCTTTTGACGTCAATGGCCGCGCCCTTCGCAAGCAAAAAACGGACAATCTCCAATTGACCGTGGAGAGCAGCCCCGTGCAATGGTGTCCCACCATTCTACACCAACCGTCACGTCGCGATAAAACACACGTAGTGAGA